CTTAATAAATCTTAAAAAGAAAAAGAAAATTTTGAAGGCTGCAATCCCAGCACTTACAAAATGGAGGTAAAAGGACAAGACTTCCAAGGTAATGTTCAACTATATAAGGAGTTGATGTCTAACCTGAGGCACATGTGTCCCTGCAAAACATAAACAGCCAGGCCTCATAGTACACAACTTTAATCCCTGCACTCAGGAGGCAGAGACAGGTAATCTTTTTTTAAAAAATTATTTTTTGTAAAGATTTATTTATTTGTTATGTATACAGTGTTCTGCCTGTATGTATCACTGCAGACCAGAAAAGGAACCAGAATACTTAACAGATGGTTGTGAGCCACCATGTGGTTGCTGGGAATTGAACTCAGGACCTCTGGAAGAACGAGCGTTGCTCTTAACCCCCCGAGCCATCTCTTCAGCCCCAGGACAGGTAATCTCTTGAGTTCAAAGCCAGACTAGTCAACAAAGTGAGTTCTAGGACAGCCAAGGCTATTACAGAGAAATCTTGCCTCAAAGAAACAAATAAAATTACTTGCAAGCAAGGGCGTACATTCACACTTTTAACCTCAGCACTCAAGAGGCAGAGGCATGTTGATCTATCTTTTTGAGTTTAGGGCCAGCCTTGGTCTACACAGTGAGTTCTAGGACAGCCAGGGCTATGTAGAGACCCTGTCTTAAAAAAAAGGGGTGGGGGGGGAGAAGGGGAGAGAGAGAGAGAGAGAGAGAGAGAAGAAAAATCTAGAGAAGCTGGGCAGTAGTAGTACCTACCTTACATGCAAAGGTGACACTACTACAAATGGGACTTAAGAGCCTATAGACGTGCTATTTTCCTGGGTCTTGAACTGATCCCCTATAGATGCCAAGAGGCTACACTGCACTAGTGTTTTCTATCTGTGGCTGACAATTTAATAGAGGGCTGTAAAAGTAGCTTTCAGTATTATGGCCAACATAATCAAATATTTCAGTACAGAAAACCATTCCAAAATACACAGGTATCAGGAGCAAACATTTCAGAATATTTTGTGTTTTATGCACTAGCATTAAATCGCAAGCATTTCTTACCATAGGATATAATAAAACCCACAGGCCAGGCAGTGGTAGCACACACCTTTAATCTCAGCACTTGGGGGGGGGGAGGACGACAGAGGCAGGCAGATCTCTGTGAGTTCAAGGCCAGCCTGGTCTACAAGAGCTAGTTCCGAGACAGCCAGGAATGTTACACACAGAAACTCTGTCTTGAATAACAAAATTAAAATAAAATCGACTGGAAAACTTTTCTACTTGGTTATACCCCAACAAGTAAGTTTATTTGATATATTTTGAGCCATCTTTTACTTACTTCCTGCTCTTCAAGAACCCTTCCATTAGCTGGGCAATGGTGGCTCACGCCTTTAATCCCAGCACTTGGGAGGTAGAGGCAGTCAGAGTTCAAGGTCAGACTGGTATACTGAGACCCATGGTCAACCAGAGATGTTACACAGAAACTCTGTCTCAAACCACCTCCAACCTACCCACAAAAAAAGTGGATCTGTCAATTAGCATATAAAAACCCAGTCATTTTATATATTAGCTGTCTATTTAAAAGCAAAAACACTCAGAAACTGTCTTTACATGAACATTAAAAAACTATTATAGCCAGGTGGTGGCCCACGCCTTTAATCCCAGCACTGGAGAGGCAGAGGCAGGCGGATTTCTGTGAGTTCCAAAACAGATCCAAAACAGCTAGGACTGTCACACAGAGTGTGTCTGTCTCAAAAAACAGAAAACAAAACACAGAAGTTCAATTTAAACACCAAAAACACATCTACACGCAGATGAGGGTACCAGGATAGGCTCCAAAGCTACACCGAGAACCCTGTCTCGAAAAACAAAACAAAAAATTATTATATTGCCAGGCATAGATGTGCAAACCTTCAAACTCAGCACTCAAGAGGCATCCGGCAGACAGAGTGTGTGTTCAAGGTCAATCTGGTCTACACAGTGAGGTCCAGGACTACATAGTGTAGCCAGAGCTACATAGTGAAACCCTGCCTCAACAACAACAAAAACCCAAATAATAATAATTGCATTCATTGGAGGAGGTGTGCAGTGCTATGGCTCCCATGTGTGGAGGTTAGAGGACAGTTTGTTCTCTCCTTCTACCATGTGAACCTCAGGAATCAAATTCAGGTAGTCAGACTTAGTAGCAATTGTTTTAACCAGCTATGCCAGCTCACTGGCCTCTTTAGATGAACTTTTAATGTCAGTTAGAGAAGCTTGGGGGCCTACTGTACCTTATGAGAGTCTACTTGGTAGGACCAGATCAGTGGATTTCTTGCCTTTTGTAGGTGGCAAGCCTCAACTCAAGTTCAATTTAGCTGAATGGTGGTGGCACACACCTTTAATCCCAGAACTTGGGAAGGAGTGGCAGGGGGATATGAGTTCAAGGCCAGCCTAGTCTACAGAGACAGATCCAAAACAGCTAGGACAGTCACACAGTCTGTCTCGAGAAACAGAAAACAAAACACAGAAGTTCAACTTAAACACCAAAAACACATCTACACACAGATGAGGGCTTTGAAACACACCTTTTTTCTTTCTGTTTTTTTGTTTTTGTTTTTGTTTTTTGTTTGTTTTGGGGAAACTGAGTTTCTATGTGTAGCTTTGGCTGCCCTGGAACTCGCTCAAACTCAGAGATCCACCTGCCTCTGCCTCCTGAGTGCTGGAATTAAAGGCGCAGCCACCACTGCCTAGCAGAGCACAACTTTTCTGAAGCATATAAAAGACTGGACATGATACAGCTCAGGCTGGCAATCCCAGCAGACGAAGGCAGATCTCTGAGTTTGAGACCAGCCTGGTCTACAAGAGCTAGTTCCAGGACAGCCTCCAAAGCCACAGATAAACCCTGTCTGGAAAAACAAAACTAACAAACAAACAAACAAAAAAAGGAATCACCAGTTTCAGCTGGATGATGGTGGCACTCTACTATAATCCCAGCACTGGAAGACAGAGACAGGTGATCTCTGTGAGTTCACAGACAATCTGGTATACCAAGTGAGTGCCAGGCCAGCCAGGTACAAGCACAGAAACTATCTCAAAAAAAAAAAAAAAAAAGGGGGGGGGAACATGACCCACATCACATTGGCCATTTTTAAATAGACATATAAATGTGCCTAACAACATTCTTCAATGAACCAGTAAGTATAGGCTTTTTCAATATTTATACAGTAACTGAAGTGAAACTGAATCTAAAATTCTGAAGATAGTTGCAGAGAGTGAAGTTAAACTGCAAGCAGAAGCCAGAAGAAAGTCTTCTACTATCAGCTGGAAAACAACTTTATATAAAGATGGAAACTAACGTTCCTGAACTATCAAAATTAATGTCCCACTGAAGTCACCAGCAGCAAATGCCGTTTAATCCTAGAAATTCTGTGTAAATACATAGTTTGCACAATGATTCTTTCCCCAATGGTTACGAAAACCAACCCTGACTTGGGGGCATTTAGACTGTTAACCGGTAGAACTCTATGTAAATGCTAAATAAGTTGACTGGCTCTAGGACACTTTGGGTTTGACAGTTCGCTGGACCCTAGCGGATGATTCTTTACAAGTCGTCTCCCACCTTTAATTGTCATGGTCTAGAGAATATGAACATTTTACTCAACATACACGACAAACAATCGACGTTTAAAGGTCAAAGGGGACCCGTTTTTTAACCTTCCCTCAACACGTGTTCAGCACAAACTTCCGGGTGAGGCTACAATTGGCTGCGCAATTCAATGGATTAAAACGATGCTTTCTTGGGCTCTCATTTTATTTCCAAGCTTCCCCCGTCGCGCGCACATTTCTCAACCAGCAACTCCCCCAAACAAAAGCATCCCACAGTAAGCAGAGCAATCACACAAAAAGGGCTTTCTATATAGGAGCATCAAGTTAGTGGTCCGAAAACATTAACCAAACTGAAGCACAAAGCCGGGATAGAAAGGGGAGGAGCTGGATGCCGGGGTCAGTAAAACAACAATCACACGGGTCTGGACAAATCCAAGGCTTGGAAGCGGTGGAGCCCATCCCACGCCACTCCCGGGAAAACACCAGCAGACACCTCTTTGAGGAACTTGGGTGCTCACTACATCCAATGCTGCCAAGGTAAGGTGAGCAGATGCCCAACCGCCATCGCCCTCCTCATGGACTGAGCTCGGGGTCTGAAGCTGCACTCAGTCACTTCAGGGAGAGCTAAACACGGCACGAAGAGGAGTGAAGATGTCCCCCACGTGTCCCACGCACCCCACTCGCCGGGAACCGAGGTTCAGGAAGGTTGTCCAGGCGCCTCCCTCCCGCTCCCGAAACCGAGAGCAATAGGTCGGAGAGACCCGAGCAGGGTCTCCGCCTCACTCTCGCCTCCCGTCTCAGGTCTAGGAGAAGGAAGAAGGAGAAGGAGGCGATCCCCGTGGAGCCGGCGTTCGCAGGGCAGGGCTGCCCGGCCTCAGAGCTGCTTATCCGGCTCGGGACAGCGGGACTCCCACAGAGCCGGCGCTGCCTGGCGGAAGACACCGGAACCAACGGGGCGGCCGGCGAAT